GTGATTTTTGTAACATTGCGAAACCTTGTGGGGCACAATATGCACTAATTTTAATGAAGATCAGTCGCAACCTCGCCCAAAAGATTTTCTATTTTTTTTAAATTTCCTCATGCCTCAAAAAATCAGAAGTGCCTGTCGAGTCAAACATTTTATAAATAAGCAACGCGGTTTTCCGTTCGACTTAATTTTTTTCCGAAGAGAGTGTAAATAAATGAGAGAGAGGGAGAGAGGAAAAACACATTTCGCTTTCGTCCCACGCTCATGGATTTTCTCAAGTCACACGTGAGCCAGGGATGCAAAAAGTGCCCAGCAGTGGCGTGGCGTGAATTGCGATACATCGATTGTTATGCCATTTAAACCTATGGAAAAAGATCGATTGTCAGGGCGTTCGCAGCGAACACCTTAGTAATCGACTCTTTACCATAGCTTCAAATGGCGAGATATCGATAATCGATTACTCACGCCACGCCACTGGCACTGCCCAGTCCCGCGATCTTAGGATCGGCATCCTAGCGGCATATGCGCAGAAAATTTTGAATCGTAAAGTGATTAGGGGCCGTCTATACATTTACGTAATTTTCTAGACGCCATTTTTTTTTTTTAATGTTTGAGGAACAGGGCCCCACGTTACAAAAACGTTCAAAAGGAAGGAGGGGATGCCGGAAAAGTGCGTTACGCAATTTATGGACAGCCCCTCATCATACGTGATTACTTTTTACGTTCTCGCTGCCCTTTTGGATAGAAAAAGTATTGTCTTTAGAACAAAAAGTTGATATTTAATTATTTCTAGGCGTTTTAAGGTGCACGGAGTCAAAAGACCATTTCTCAAAACGGCCGCGAGGCAAAACCATACGCCCTTGTTCCATGGATAGAACCTTTCCATTCACTAGCGACTTTTCCACAGCTTTTCACCGTCTCCCCGTTTCGATTTTCGGTGGTGGCGTGTTTTCGAAGGAAGCTTTCCGCGGAGGCTCAGTGCCACACAATGAATCGAGTCTACGGGAGAAGTCGGACAAAATTTGGAAACTTCAAAAGCTCACAACTCCGTTCATACAAAAGTTTGAGGTTTTAATAGTGATCTTATTGATTTCCTCGTAAAATTTTCGACTAGGAGCACCCCCTTTTGAAATTTGACGAACTAAATACCAAAATTTGCAGTTTTAGTTTAACATTTCATGTCCCATTGTCCTGATCGACTCGATCCACTGTGTGCCGGGGAGCGGATCCGAAGTTGGAGCGAGGCGATACAAAGTCGCGATGCAGATAACGGTCGTCGGAAAATTCACGACATGACGTCATCTTGTAGCGTGTGAGAAATTCTCACGCGACCCCCCGAGCTCGGCCCATTCGGTAATTACACCTTTCCGTCTCCACTTTCCCGGGCTCCGTCTCTGGTTTCCCGTCGGTTCATAATTCGAGAGACCCCTTCAGAGGAACCTCTCGAGAAATACGCTCGGTTCGTGTTTCACCGATCTCGATTTTGACCGGGGGTTGCTCGCGTCGTCCGCTAATGACGATCTTTCCCAGGAAACTGCCAAACTTACAAGAATTGGAAATTCTGTTGAACCGCGGAAAACGGTTTTTAGGGGTTTTTTGGGGGATGAACAGGGGGCCTGCTCCCTGTAGAATTTCCCTTTTATCGCGATACCTAAACAAAGGAACGGAACTCTATTCCAAGGTTGAAAATTTGACTAGAACAAGTCAATTTTTTTACTAGAAAATAATTTCAGTTCTTCAGTTTCCAAAAATTCCGTTTGACCGCGGAAAACTGGTTTTTAGGGCTTTTAGGTTTTTAGGGAGAATCAGTAGGTCTGCTCCTTGTAGAATTTCCCTTTTATCGCGATACCCAGTCAAAGGAACGTAACTCTATTCCAAGGTTGAAAATTTGACTCAAACAAGTCAATTTTTTTACCAGATAATAATTTCAGATTTTCAGTTTCCAAAAATTCCATTTAACCGCGGAAAACTGGTTTTTAGGGGTTTTTTGTTTTTAGGGAGAATCAGTAGGTCTGCTCCTTATATAATTTCCCTTTTATCGCGATACCCAGTCAAAGGAACGTAACTCTATTCCAAGGTTGAAAATTTGACTCAAACAAGTCAATTTTTTTACTAAAAAATAATTTCAGTTTTTCAGTTTTCAAAAATTCCGTTTAATCGCGGAAAACTGGTTTTTAGGGTCTTTGGGGGGGAGAGGGAGAAACAACGGGAGGTCTGCTCCTTGTGGAATTCCCCCATTATCGTCGATTCCTAGACGAGGGATTGGTCCAAGTAATCGAATTAGCCAATCACAACACCTAACCTTGAAAATTTGATGGCTCGATTTGTTCGTGTGCCATCAGCTCGTAAAACTTGGTTCCTTTTCACGGAATCCGGTACAGTCCTTGCAAGTGCAAAATTTGGTGTTCGAAAAAATCAAAATTTCTCCCGAGATGGCGACAAATTTTTCTCCCAGCGCCTCCAGACGTGGGCGAACTATTCTTAACTGCACAGTGAGCTATAATGTGATAATTAAGAGTCGAGAGGCGGCAATCTGCTCGCTAATCGTAATCGATAATTATTGCTTGAATGTACGATTTAGATTCCTCAAGCACACCTGAGACTGGTAATTACGATTAACCGTAGAATGAAACGCTTCTTGTCGGCAGAAGAGGAAATAGCTCACTTCAAACTGGTTCGTAGACTTTTGGGAAGAGCCTGATAATTCATTAACAATTTGATAACTGTAATGTGAAAGTATGAATTGGGATGAGGTGATTCTTTCTTCACACAAAAGCAACCTAATTGAACTCAAGACAAGATAGTTGCAGCGTCATTAGAATTATCCACTCATCTAAAAATGATGCAAAATTCGTGGAACAATTATGTAATGTTGCAAATTGACTCTTTAGTAAGTATGGCTCCGTGAAATCTTCACACGATGGCTAAAATCGGAAACTGCGTATCTGCATCGCAATGTTTCAAAACTTCCGACTATGTTTTTATTTTTGGTGAGAGAAAGCCAACCAAAATATCTCCTTGGAACTTTCTTTACATTGTGGAAAAAAAGGGTTTTTATAATGCGCTGATCATACTTTGATAACTTTTTGGATAATTTTAGGATGTGCGCCGTCGACGCATTATTCCTCAAGAGTTGAAAATGTAAAAACTTTTAAGAAAAAAAAATTCTCTCAGTCTACAACATTTTTAGGGTACTTACTTTTCAAAACTTTCAACCGCTAGGTTGCGCAGTCGGGAAAAAACATCTCCGCATTTTCAGCGCAGAAAGCATTGACGGCATTTGCTGAGGCTTCCTTGCTGCCCTGCTTAAAATGCTCCTCTTTTTTGCCTTCGTGATGAAATTTCGGGCACGCTCTTTTTCCAGTAAAGGCGGCCAAGTCAAGGCCAGCGCGAATGAATTCGAAAAGTGACCGAGTCACCCTTCGCGCTGGTCCGGTCCGGTCGCAGGCATCCCCCCCCCCTCATTTAAACGAGATCGGCTGAACGCAACGAGTCGCCTGATTTTAAGTCTGCATTGATCAATGAGTCTGAGTAGAATTTGCATTTCGAGCCAATTGCTTCATTCGGTGTTGAGTTCATGCCTTTTAATGCTTTCATTACTCTCTGTAATGATTGCTCGACACACGAGTGGTTGTCCCGCCACTCAAAAGTCAGGGAATTTTCATGAAAATGGTCGGGAAAACTTTAATAATGCAGGAAATGCCTACTCGATAATGTCAGTGGTAACACCGAGTCTCGACCTTGTAAATGAAGGTGTGTAGGGGGTGAAAAAAAATCAGCATCTGCTGGGATTCATCAGGGATCGATAAATTCATCTGGAAATTATAGGGTTCTGTCGTAGAATCGCCGTCCTTTTTCTGTTCGGAAAATGAGGTAGAACTGAGAAAAGTGCTAATTATTCAATTTTCTAGCTCAGCCCGTACTTAATTCTGACTTTTTGTGGAGGAGGAATTTTAATTACAAAAAAGAAATTTTGAAACCAAAGTTGCGAATAATTTTTGCCGAGGGAAAACTCAATATTTTTCCGAGGAAGGAAGCGTCTCAATTTTTTAATCCGTCGTTTCCTTGACGAAGGAACGTAACTCGATTCCAAGGATGCAAAATTGATTTGAAAAATTCAATTTTCTACAAGAATGAACCCGCTCAATTTTTGTTCTGAGAATTTTCTGATTCTTGCACGAGATCAGAAGAAAAATTAGTTAAATTTTCAATTAAAAGTTCTTTCTGGTAATGCAGTTTGTGAAGGGAAATTTGGCAACACTGTACTTTAGTTATGTTCTTTCGCCAAGAATACGACGAATTGTGTTAATTCTCAAGAGAGAGACCCGGACCTATCTTCGATTTTTCCGTGGAAACCTGGTCTCCCTCAGGACGTTCCGTCTTCGGCCGCGCCGCTCCAGATCCAGGAGCGATATCATTTTACGGCGACTTATTCGCGCAAATATTTATGTTTATTCTCCATTAGCCGAGCCTTTTTGACCTACTTCGGAGAGCTTTTTTTGCAGGTTTATTGCGCACTATTCGGGTGTTTGTCCATCGCTTTTACTCTAATGATGCGACAAGCGACAGCTTTCCTCTCTCGTTACCACTTTTAGCATTTGTCCCAAATTCGTAACGTTCGATTTAGTTTCGCGCGTGTAGATGAGTGATCGCTTTTTAATATCCTTCGTCGGACATCGCCAAATTTGTCTCATTAAATGATTAATTTTTGGAAAATGTCTGAATATTTTTACTTGGAAGACCCGTATTTTAGTGATTCATTTGCGAACGTAATTCTGAATAAAAAGTGGAGGGAAAATGTTCGTTGGCGAAATTGCCCAATCCGCGGACCATGCAAATTTTTTACCCCTCCTGCAGTCTGACTTACCCCTGTTGCCCAATGTTTAAAGGAAGATATACTTTTTTCAGTATTTGTGTTGAAAATAATGATAAGTCAATAATTAGTATAATCTTATGTTGGTACTCATGTTAGTATTAATTATATTTTCTTCTGTTTGTTTCAGGTAAGTGAAATTTCTCGCTCAACTCCTTAAGGTACGCACGTGCAGCTCGTCTCCGTGAGTTTTTACAATTTATTCGTCTGAAAAATGTGTCAGTCTAAATTGTTTCTAAATTTTCCCCCTGTAAAATATTTGGTTTTGAAGTTTACGAATAACCCCTCTGGCAATTTTTGGAAACCAAGAATGAAACTGCACAGGAAAGTCTTCGAAAATTTTGAAGAAAAACATTCGCAATTCCTCAGAAGAAATCGGTCGAGGTCCAAATTTTCTCACGACGGTTTTTCTTAGCCCGGTACCATTCTGAAAAAGACTCAACCCTCTGAAGTTTCCATGCCATGGATGGGAATGAATCAATGCTCGCTCTTGTAACGTAGATCTGCATCATTTCACATCGGCAGCTGCAATGTTAATGTATCCTCGGTCAGTGTTTTAAACCGTTATCGAAAGATACCATCCTTAAAAAAAGGATATATCGATCAAGGTCATTTGATAACGAATCAGCAATCGACTCACTAAGAATGTCGCATGTCCTCTCGGTAAGCGGGGAGGATGGTGGCGGTGGAGCGTTGATGCTCGTTGACCACCCTGTGACGTCATCGTGCATCCGATTCTGACTTAGTCGGCTTCCCGAATCTATATCCAGGGTTGCCACAGTCAGGGAAAACCGGGAATTGTCAGGGAATTTATAAATAGTCAGGAAAAATGGCGAAAATGTCAGGGAAAAAGTGTTAAGTCGCTATATGCTTTCTTGAATAGTTTGGACGTTTCGAACAACAAATTTTGCACTATTTCTAATTATGTCTTTTCAACCATCTGGCATTGCAATTGTCAGGGAATGTAACAAAAAATGTGTCACGGAAATCAGGGAAATGTCAGGGAATTTAATTTTCGAGATTCGGTGGCAACACTGCATATCACTGTATATCCTCGGTATCGGAAAGCGAGCCGTGCGACTCTGGCTCATAACGTCGCTTCCCTAACGTGAGAGCGTAACTCGATTCCTACATGAGCCCCAAAAAGCATGGCTTTATTCGAAAAACAGGGCTCACAAGGAATTTGAGATACGCCCTTACGTTAGAGGTACAACGAAAATTCGGAAGCTCCTCTGTTGTGCTGAAGAAAACGCTGTATGAACATTCTAATGTTGCCAATTTTCCCCCAATAAAAAAGTCATTTTTTATAAAATGTATGAATACTTTTCCCCGGGTTCACAGATAGATTGAATTGTGAATGAAATTCCCTGTAAAATTAGTAGAAAAACATGCTCAAGTACGCTTTTACGCCACAAACAATTCGCTTTTATCGGGGGCGATCTTGCAACATCCGGAGGATTATACGGCGTTCTGCCGCAGCACGGTATACTATTATTTGTCTATTCTATCTTCGTTAGCGAAGCAGGATTTTGTTACCTCTCAAAACAAACAGAATATGCCGCGTGTTTGCTCTGGCTAATCCCGCATGCGTGTACTCGGAGATTGACTTCTTCAGGGCTCCCGTAAATGTATATACGATGGCGCGTTTGTAATAAGGGAAGGGGGGAGGGAGGGCAGTGTACTCATTCATCGTCAGTGAATAGTATTCGACTGAAGACATTCTCAATATGAGGACTTCAGTTGAAGATTCAGATTAAATTTACTTCTCTTTTTCCCAATTGCTCAGATCTGAGTGAATCAATTGGGGCCCATTTCCCAAATCGAGAGCTACCAGAATGGATTCAGTTTACAGGTTTTTTTTTTTTTTTTTTTTTTTTTTTTTTTTTTTAAACACGCTACCCATTGCGTTCGTTGATGGGTTCGTATGAATGAGATGCTTCAGTTCTAAGTGGCAAACGTGTATGAGATTTCTTTTGATTGACATACATTTTGGTATGGATGATGGTCCCTTGTCTAGAATGCTAAGTCGCATTTTTGCCAAAATCGCGTATTTCGCGCGATAATGAGTTGGAAAACGCGTTATTTTCTATCATTTTACAAAAGCGCTAGAAAAATTGCGCACTTATTTCATGTTCACGGAATTTTGCACAAAAATGTTAATGAACCAATACTGGTGAGAGCGGACACCAAGCGCGCAACTATTCGAACTCTGGAGTAGTTATGTGGTACCTCGCAAAAATGAAGGCAAATCTTGCCTTTTTGCACGTTTCGAATTACTGAAGTTTATGATTGCAGTGATATATGGCATATATATGGGATTTTTCAAGTTTAAGACTGTTCACAGAAGGAAACAGGAAGTCTTGCCCTAAACATTTTTCAACTGATTGAAATCTCAATTTCCGGTATTTAAACTTCATAACTTTTGAAAAACGTAGCGAAAATTCGGTCGTTTTAAGTTAGCAGTCGGCCTTAAAAAAAAAGAAAAAAAATTAGGGTAACATTTTACTGAACACTGCTAAAAAAAATATTGAGGAAAGGAAAAGGTGAAGTTTAAAATTAGGTAGGTAACGGTAAAAAAAACACACAGAAAAATACTTTTTCTGATGTTGACATTTGAATCGTTGATCGACCAAGTCTGAGAGTTTTATCATACGTCTCGAATAGAACCTAGGAAAGCCGGAAAATTTCCACCTTACCCTTAAATGGGACTTGAAGGAATGATATTTTGAAATGTTTCCGCCGTAAAAGTGTGCGATTGAATTGAGGTCATTGTCAAGAATGAAACTAACCTCCCGCGCCCGCCCCCAGTCCTCTTGTGTGCCGAAAGATCCCTTCCTAAAACCCATCTACGGTGGGAATCGCTCTAAAAGACAGTAACCAGACACTTTGCCGGCACTTTCGGTCCAGTTCTGCCGGGCTATGGAAGAACGCAGCATGGGCACTCAAATGTAGCCTAAGTTCCTCCGATTAAATATTTTATTTTGAGAAAAGTTATGAAAGTTTTTCTTCTTCTTTTCTTCGAATACGCCACATTAAATTGTCTTGCCGGCCAGGTTGGCCTAGTGGTCAGCGCGTCTGACTCTAGGTCAATAGGTCCCGGGTTCGAATCCCGGTGGTGGCGTCTAATTTTCAAGGAATTGACGAGTAGATCTGCTGAAACAGATTCTCCTCGGCCCTAATCCCTGAAAATTAGAAAAGCCTGGAGCATGGAGCCTGATGTCTACGGACACTAAACATTGTCGAAAGTTGGCTGAAGGTGCAATAGACACGAAGCCATTAAACCAGAAAAAAAAAAAAAAAAAAAAACAATTGTCTTTCACATTTTCTCCTCGGTAATAACGGTCAGTTAGGATCTTTTTTCTTGAACCCTTGAAAAAATGTCAATAATTTTGGTTTTTAATATTTTTTCATGGGAAAAAGACCATGGGGTTGTTAGTTGGTATGAACATTTCCAATTAATTGTGATGGTACCCTAATACATCAGCTTATAAACACAAATATTTCGGCATACTACCACAATTAATTGAAAGTGTTTATATCATCCAACAAGTTGGAGTAGTACACTAATTTTAGGGGATAGCTCCTAACACTTTTCCTCGGCAGCATTAGTGTTGAAAAGTTTTTCAAAAATTGACATTGTTTGAAGATTAACATTCATTTAAAATTAAAATAGTGTCTAAGGACTACAGCAGATCTCTGAAGAGTTCCTTTTACATTTTTTTCACTTAAACTTTACCTCTTATAAATTGTAGGTAATTGAAAATGAATTTGTAAAGGGTCTCCGATAACATAAGTATATTTCAACAGTCTTCTTAAATGTTGTCTTTTTGATATTCAAAATCATGTTTAAGAAAATAATAAGTCGTTGGTTCTAGCGTTAAAAAAATCCGAAGAAAAAATTAAGATTTTTTAGAAAATTCTTTCTACATCAAAAGAAATTTTGCAACATTTTGGTGTTCACGCGACGTGTACCTGCGTATGCCAGAGTAGAATTGGCTGTGTGCGCATGTGGTGTAAAGAATCAGAGCAACTTTCGTGGTTTTAATCGAGGGGTGAGGTCCAGGAAAAGGGGAAGGGAGATCGAAAGAGTGAGGAATTGAACCGGTTTTCAACCGGTTTTTCTCAGTTCGAAAGGCAGGAAAATCGACCGGAACCAGGGACCAACTCCAGATACTTGCCCAATCTGGATAATTAGATCAAGCTCTCATTAATAATCAGTAGATCCTTTAAAAAGCATTACTGCATTCCGAGTTAGGATCAATGCGTACGGGCTGCATCTCATCGTCGATCCTCTGACGTAGGGGCGTATTTCGATTTCCTCATGATCCGCAGAAAGCATGAATTTATATGTGAAACAGGGCTCAAGTGGACATCGAAACACGTTTTTATGTCAGAGGAGCGACATGAAGAGGGATGTACGTACGGGGTGAGAATTCAGGCGCTTCAGCAAAGGTTTTCTCAACAAAATTTTATGAAGAGCACGATAAAAGTACGAACAATTCCCAAATCAACATACAAAGGAGAGAGATACTATTTATTCTCACATTAGGTTATAATAATTCAAATTTTTGGGGGAAAACCAGAACCAACGTAGCTCACACTGGTCACTGAAAACAAATCCACCATTGGAAAAAAATTAGACTTTTACACCCATCACAAACTTTTTGTTTTTTTCCTTTCATACATCGCAGGTATAGACTTGTTTAAAAAAATCCGGCACTTGGAAAAAACCATTTTCAAAATCCAAGAAAACTTGTCATTCACTGGAAAAAAAACGCATTGAATCCAGAGTCCAAACTCTTGAAAACATTGACAAGAAAAAAGACTCTTGATTCAATCAGATTTTTGCTTAAATCAAAACGAAATCCGCTCAAATCAAGAGGCTGGTTCTTGATCTAAGCAAAAATCCGATTGAATCAAGAGTATTTTTTCTTGTCGATGTTTTTAAGAGTCTAGACTCTAGATCCAATGTTTTTTTTCCAGTGTTCTATTCGAACGAGAAGTCTGCGCAATCCCCCCCTCCCCTCCCCTATGTGAAAATGTCGAATTAAAAAAAAAAAACTCAGAACTTATCGTCGCCGCAACGGTTCTTCTGGTCAACGGTCATCTTCGCGTCCGTCACCAATCAATAACGAGAAACGAAAGACGCAGTCCCTATAAA